CTTCCTCACTGTAGAATGATGGACTTCAAATTGTTTGGAAATTACCGTATTACCCTTCCCAGATTAATGGCAGCAACAATTGCTTCTCTAAGATAATTGCTGATGTATTTCCTCTTTAGCATTGTGTTAACACACACCTGAAGGCTCCAGACCAGCAAACTGCCAAAACTTCTGCTTTTATAGAGCTGCTCACACTTGCTGATGATCAGTTAATCAGAGGTATATGATTAACAGTGCCTGACTGTTACTTACCCTCTTAATTCCCATGTTAACAGTAAGGGTGTCCTTAATTTGTCACACATGGCTTTTCCATTTTAGCCTAGTTTTTGTTAAATAAATAATGACAGAGTGTGATATGTCATGTGTTGTTGTTCATCTGAGGTTTAATTGTCCAAATTTTAAGCCCTGCCAATGACCAGATGATTTTTTATTATGTCCTGATACGGAAAACCATGGAATTCAATAGGGTGTCCTTTCTTTTTCACATGACTGTATGGGAGTAATTCCAGTAATGAAATACATTTTCATGTCCATATATATATATATATATATATATACATAAATGTGTGTGTGTGTGTATACAAAAAAAGTTGATTCAATGCAAGCTCACTTGTTGCACTTATAAAATAAGTGTTTAAATAAATGTATTAATGTTATGCATATGATACTGCATGTGCCATCATTAGATCACTCTGCTTTAGACGTCATATTGGCCTACCACTAGATCCAAGTACATGATCTGCAATTAAAATACACTGGTATCCGTCTATTGCTGCAATCAATAATAATGGAATTTTATGCGGCACATTTTGAGCCCTGTAACTTCTTAAAAAGTAATATGCTTCTGTAACTATTACGATACAATATAAAAGTGTAGTTTATAAAAGGGTTTGCATCATGTAAACAGCCCCTTAGTGCTGTCCTTGCATATTCATGCGAATATTTGTTTGTTTGTGCATGTTTCCTTAAAAGTGTCTGTGATGTGTGTCTTGTGATATTTGCTTGTATCATTACTGACAATGGAATTGTTTGGTCAGTCCTGTTATGCAGCTCTTAGAAATGAGTATGCGTGTTATACTTTAAGTAGTATCACTACAAAAAATGAAATGTATAAAAGTGTAGTCCATAGTTTAAGAAATTATAATATTATTTACATAATAGCAAGAACATTAACAGGATGGAACCTAGCAGGATGGAAAAAGAGCTAAAGTTAGCCACTGCTCAGTGAGGCATTGACAGTTAGTAGTGATGTTACATTCAACACCGAAGCTTCGAAGCTTGTATCAAAAAAACAACACATTTCACATTGAAGCACTGTATTGGAGCTTGATTCGTTTTGAGAAAAGCACGTGATCTATGGAGAAGGGTCTGGCTGCAGACTTGCACTCTCAGACACTTGCGCTTCCGTTAGTGACATCACTTGCAGTCTTTTTTATTTTGTTCTATTTATTGATTTCTTTTGTTTGAATCTCTCAACATTTTACAACAGTAGCCAGGTGGTGAAGACAAGAAAAAAGAAACTAAATTACGAAGTCACTTCATAACACTTTGGCAGGTGCTATTTATTTTTATGACCACTAGATGGCCACAGCATAAACCGTTTTAAAAAGCTTCGAGTAATGAACTTTTTCCGATACAATTGTGATGAAAGCTTCACTGGTTCAGAACGCTTCACTTCGCCATCACTAACAGCTAGCTTACATGACACTGTGCCTTTTTGCGTCTTTATAAACTTTGACAATCATATACATTTCTGTAATTTATTTAAATATAATTCAATGTTTAAAGAGCGAGACAAACCAACTAATACAGCAAAACATAAAAGACATCTAATCGATTGCTAATGCTAATACCTAGCTAGATATGTTTGTACTGTTGTCTCCAACAAAAATTGTGTCACATCCTGCTAAATGATAACAGGACGGAAATTAAAACCGAGGAAGAAATTGACTACCAAATAAAACGATATAATGACCATAACGAGAAAAAAAAATCAGGAATATTTCTAAATAAGTTTTCATCCTAGTGGCAAAAATGACAAGACTCACTCAAAACAGATTTATGAAATTTTTTAAAAGTCTTGTGTTCACTTGGTTGAGGAATAGCAGTCTAAAGTACGTACTGTAGCCTACTTTTCTGCGATTTAGTACAATAATTAAATTTAGCTGGTATCACGTCTATACTTTTAAGCCTCCTGCCATTGTTTACATCTGTTAAAAATCACGCCTTTAAAAAAAAAACTTTTTTTTGAGACAGCATGTGTGTGTGACACTCGCGCTCTCTTTTTCCTTATGCGTGTATGAGCACACATCCTCGTACCTCACCGCTCCAAATCATAGCTCCAAACTTAATCCAGGAAAGGTGAACATTCCTGCGCGTGTGTGTGTGTGTGTGTGACACTCGCGCTCTCTCTTTCCTTATGTGCACACATCCTCGTACCTCACCGCTCCAAACTTAATCCGGGGAAGGTGAACATTCCTGCATCATAACTTGGACTGAAAGATGAATGTGTAGAAAGTGAGCATGTCTCAACCAACCTTGTTGAGCTGCAGGTTTATGCATGCATTTTTTATTAATTTTTTTATTTTATTTTTTATAGAAATTATGTTTTGATTATATTTTTGATTATTGAGCTGCAGGTTTAGGCTCACTTAAGTGACTGCATTTTTTTCATTTATAGGTATTTTTTTTTTACAGAAAATAATTTATTTATGTTCTGACATCTGATTATTGTTGAGCTGCAGGTTTAGGCTCACTTAAGTGACTGCATTTAATTAAGAAGAATTTAATCATTTATTCTAATTATTTAGCCTGACATGTTTACTGTTCCAAAATGTTCTATATGTTTCTTAAAAAAAAAAATGTGTTCAGTGGAAAAAAGTTGTTTTTTTACACCGACATTTAAAAATAACATATTTTAGAGCTGTAATCGCAATACCGTGATACCGTGATATTTTTATCTAAGGTTATCATACCGTCAGAATCTCATACCGGCCCATGCCTACTTGGTTGTGGTAGTGTGGCAAAAAAAGTTACCTATTGTCATATTTTGATTTAACATATTAAGACATACATGATGGGAATATGGAAAAGTACTGCATAGCACGCATTACCTATACATGTCAATTAAGGAGGCGTTTCATACCTTTATGAACTGATGATCCATGCATCTCTTCAATATGGACATCCGCAATGTGATTCTCACTTCTTGATGTTTCTTTGGACATGTGCATCTGCTGTCTCAGTCTCACCCATGAGGGTCCAGCTACAGGGGCTGGTTCAGAGACTCTGGGTCTGGGACAGGTGTCTGGGGTTTTGGCACACACTGACACAGTGCTCGTCGGCCCTCTTCTGCAGTGCATCCCTGTGGATGTTGTTGCCATATCTCCCTCTCCCTGACACAGTCTATGGTTGGGGTCTTTAGCAGACAGGACGCTGATGTACTTGCGCATGGTTTTCATCTGACAGCGAGACGCCTCCAACATCCTCCTGGTGTTCTCATTCTCCTTCTCTTTAGCTGTCATGTCACGTTTGATCTCCTCAAATTTGAGCCCGACCACCCGGATCATCTCTCCTAGCACGGTCTCCACCGCGACGTTCACGGCTTTCTCAATAACAGCGCCCATCTGGCCCCGCATCAGAGAGATGGTGAAATTCACATCCATGCTGATGGGCGCAAATCTGATCAGGGCCAAAAACACGCGTGTGATCTGAAAGCTTTGACTGGCCGATCAATATTCGAGTATATTTGTGCAAAACGTACGTTTTTCAGACAAATGCTCAGGCTCCGTCCGCCATTGGCCGTGCAACGACAACACTGAGACGGAGCAGGAATCACATCCGGTTCAGCAGGAGCGTTAACCCTCTGTGGGAAGCATACAGTGATGTGTGATGCTGCTTGAATAATTTTTTTTTTAATTTATTCATTTTTATTTTTTTTAATTGTTTTTTGTATGGCAAGATTGTGTGCAAGTAAATCTCCAGGGGAAGATCTCCACAACTGGATTCAGGAGAATAAGGACGCAGAAACACAAAAGTTTTCATTTGTCAAAAAAATTTAAAATACAACCTAAATTCTCAAAAACAGATCAAAAGTTCACTATCGAATGAAAAATATACATGTTTTCATGAAACGAGTGGATGTGGTTTGAGGTTGAATGATATTGTAAATCTGTGACAACAGGCTTGGTTCATATGTCAGCTTCTGCATGATGTGGAAATTATGCACATGAGAGAGATGCGAAAGCGTAGGCCTAGGCTATAGCCCTATTCGCACGGGATTAGTATTACCTGGTGACCTCCAGTCATTTGTAATAATTGCGGAGGTTGTCTGTGATCTTAATCCCGTGCGAATCGGCCATGTCTGTAATTTGTAAAGTAAAAATTCCCCCGCAAATGACCTACCATATATTACCATATATTACCGTAATTTCAAAATCACACAAGGTCCCCAGATAATACTAATCCCGTGCGAATAGGGTTTATGTTGTATTTTTTTACGGGTAAATCTGAGTTTGTTCCACAGAGTGTGAAAAGTTTGATGGTGCCATAGTTGTACATCGTCAAAAGATTCTTAATTTTGAATTATTGTCTATTAAGTCTTTTTCTAGTTGCTATTATAAAAGACTGTTTGTAAGTGTAATGTCATATTTGTTGAGGCATGTTATCTCTCACTATCAAGAATTATCACCAGACATGCTCATATTGTGACCTTGAGTGCATTTGTGGGCAGTTCCAGAAAGAGATATTTCTTTCTGTACCTATATTTCTGCATAATGTGACCCTGGACCACAAAACCAGTCTTAAATTGCACGTGAATGCAATAAGTTGAACGGGCGTAGCAATAGCCAAAAAATACATTGTATGGATCAAAATTATCGATTTTTCTTTTATGCCAAAAATCATTAGAATATTAAGTAAAGATCATGTTCCATGAAGATATTTTGTAATTTTCCTACCATAAATATATCAAAACTTCATTTTTGATTAGTAATATGCATTGCTAAGGACTTCATTTGGACAACTTTAAAGGCGATTTTCTCAATATTTTGATTTTTTTTTTTTTTTTTTTTTGCACCCTCAGATTCCAGATTTTCAAATAGTTGTCTCTCGGCCAAATATAGTCAGATCCTAATAAATCATACATCAATGGAAAGCTTATTTATTCAACTTTCAGATAACGTATAAATCGCAATTTCGAAAAATTGACACTTAAGACTGGTTTTGTGGTCCAGGGTCACTCTTTCTATCGGTGTTTGAAACAAATTGTAGGCTTGTAGGCTAGTCAGAGCAAGCACAAATATGTACAGTATGTTACAGTATGATACTGTGTTGATCACACTGGGGGTCACATGGCGTACTTTTGCGTCCATTCATTTTTCGTTTTCTAACCATGATGGAAAAAAAGAAAAGAAAAAAAAAAGAACGGTTGTTGTATTTTTAAATGTTGAAAATCAAAATTGAAAAAGTAAAATATTGTCTTATTTTCAGATTTTTGTTTATTTTTTGCACCTTTAATAAACATTTTCAAAATGCACAAATTAATATAGAAAATTTTTGATTTAATTCATCATTCAATATAGCCTCTGTATTATATATTTATTATACACTGAACAAAACTGATATTATGATTGATTATTGGTCCATGGGATCAAAATAATAATTAAAAAAATGCCCAAGCTAGAGATTTTATATACATTTAGCTTGGCATAGCTACAATTCAGCATTAGGTTGTACAAGCCACCAGATGAAACCATCTGCAACAGAACATCAAGACTGTGTTATTTGAGCAGTTGAATGAGGTGCAGGAGCAATATGCAGATTCAGGCATTCAGGAAAGTCTGTTTTGTTTGGTAGAAAGGAAATAGTTTTATCCTGTTATATTCTTTAGTGAAGCGTAAGTATAATAAGCAGTAAGTCCTAGAGCAGTTAAAGCATGAGCTCACTGATGCCATTAGAAATGGGCTCTGACAGTAGCAAGATGAGAGTTGTGGTTCATATCTCTGTGGGATCCTTCCCGTTTCTGCACTTCACGCATGTCCACATATTCAGTGTTTTCTAGATCACGCCGTTTTACATTCCTCTGAAACAGTAAAATAATTTGTGTTTGAAGTGCTGGTTCAACAGAAACCACAGACATATTGCATTACTGGCACACATGAAGGGTTGGCACAACAGAGGAAAGCCTTTACCTGCATTGGCACGTAGGTCAGAGTGTCAGAAGACTCCAAATTTGTGACCTGGAGAGGAAGATAAAAAACACAATATATAAATGCATAACAGCTCAGCAGCAGGATATAAATGTAGCTTAGAATAACAAATATTTGATGGCTATATTGCACTGTGATTCCATTCAGTTGTATCTAGAAATGGAAGAATTAAAGGAAAAGTTCATCCAAAAATTTGGAAAAAAATTTGCCTATTGACCGTCAGGCCATCCAAGTGTTAAATGTTTGTTTTTTCATACGTACAGATTTGGAAAAATTTAGCATTACATTACTTGCTCACCAATGGATCCTCTGGCGTGAATGGGTGCCATCAGAATGAGAGTTCAAACAGCTTATAAAAACATCATAATAATCCACAAGTAATCCACACAACTCCATCTCAACAAGTAACGTCTTGTGAATCTGTGTGTTTATTAACAAATTCATCATTAAAGCATTTTACTGTACCATAATAACCATACCATAATACCTTTGCTTGTAAGCAGTGCTTGAGTTGTGTATATTTCTCTCCTGATTCAGACAAGACCATTTTTTCACTGGAGAACACAATACTATGGATGGAGGATTTGTATTTTAGCCGGAAGCATCTGTTTGAAGTTAAAATGTCTTCATGATGGATTTGTTTCTTACAAACATGCAGCTTCTCACTTCACAAGATATTAATCAATAGACTGGAGTCGTGTGGATTATTGTGATGTTTTTATCATTTGTTTGGACTCTCATTCTGACGGCACCCATTCACTGCAGTGGGTCTAGTGGTGAGCAAGTGATGTAATGCTACATTTCTTCAAATTTGTTCTAATGAAGAAACAAACTCATTTACATCTTGGATGGCCTGAGGGTGAACATTTTCATTTTTGGGTGAACTATTCCTTTAAAATGCTTTTAAATATACTAAGTAAAGTTGACAGTTTTATTGAACTCCAATAAACAACAGACCATAAAAAAGATGCTTGCACACAAAAGACAGAAAAAAAATAGGACAGAAGCATTAAAAATATTAATGATAAAATATATATATAATATATATATATTATACTTAGATGGTGATTGATTGTTGCTTAGTAGCATTCTATTAGTGGTGATTGCTTTATAATAAAAGAACTTGAGGTAGTGCTGTAGTGTGAATATAGTCATTTTGTTGTGCATCATAACAGCACTGTGACTGCAGTATATTCACAGTATAGCACAGCCTCTCCTTATTGATTAAATAAATGAATGCAACAAGATATGTATACAGATATTCAGTGGTAAAGACACTATAAAACAACACAAACATAAAATAAAAAGTCACAGGAAATAAGTTTTACCCTCAATCTGATGTAGACTGCAGTAAGAATAATGCTGTAGAGACACAGCATTATCACCACTATGACCAGACCACAGATTAGTAGGGTATACGTGTCTTCAAGTGCGGGCCTTTCTACAGGTGTGGGATCCTGGTTATGTGTTTGACTAGTGATTAGACAGCTGTTCTTCGGTGGAGCAAAAGGGTTACTGCAACCTTAAAAAATAAAAAATAAAGGCTATTGATTTTTTTTTTTTTAATGCAAGATTCAAACTAAATCTGAAATGTGATTTCCGGGTATGTAAAACTGATTAACTGATGTACTGTGTTGATCACATGGGGTGAACTTACCTCGGAAAAGCTTAATTTTCGGTCCTTTTTCAGTTTCGACTGGATATGGTTTTATTTTGGATATCTCACAGGAAAATGTATTACTGTGTAAGGCCTCAGGTTTCATTAAGGTGAACGTGAATTTATTGTCCTCATGCTCCCATTTACACTTGTTATGTTCTTGTCTTTTGTCATAAACCTCACAAACATCCTTATCATTCATTTTCAACTTAGCTTCCAATTCAAACCTTTCTTCTCCATAAAACACGCATGTGACACTGACTGAGCCATCGTCATTCAGTGTGTGGTTGAGAGGTTCACTCACGCTCCAACTACAAACTGAGGTAACAAAAAAGAAATTCAATTTAGTTCATTTATAGATCAAATGTTGTTTTTGAAATTTGAATTTACTTTGAGAAAACAGTTTGACGTTGATCATGTTTATATGCACACAATTTTATACTTAATATAAATATTCGGTGTAAGTCTTTATTCTGAAAATAACATTTACATGCTCCACAGCTATTGGACTATTCCTGAATATATACATATTACTAAAATATATAATCCGCTTAATCTAAATTAAAATAAGACATGCACATTATTTTTCTGATATTCTGTTCCGGAAATGCTCTTGCTACTTATTATGGTGCATTTAGTGGTTTTGAACAGTATTTTAATCAATTTATTGTCATTCATGTCATTGCAATTGTACACAGCAAGGTGACAAACTGTTGAATGTCTGTATCTAATATCACCCAGAATTACCTTCGTTTAAACATATTCATTTATGGTAAATATCCATGACACTTTACAGGACTCAAAATGAATACAGGCATATGACAACTGTCTCCGGAAACCAGAATATTTGTTTAATCTGGTTTTG